GCACTGTGTATACACCCAATTTACTACAAACTAGGAGAAGAAATTATGAGGTATGTGAAACGATACAAGCAAAATCTACTTTCGCCCAAAAGTTTTATGGGTACAGAATAGGCAGGTTATATAATAAGGTTAATAAAAAACATTAAATTTTTCAACTAACAAAATATAAATGTAAGAAAAAATTAACAGATTGGCTTATGAAACTAGATTACGAAGAAACAGAGAATTTACTGTAAAAGCGGAATAGTGAGAAACACACACACACACACACACACACACACACACACACACACAGCACGCACGCACGCACGCACGCACACACACACACACACACACACACACACACACACACACACACACACACGCACACACACACGCACACGCACACGCAGACGCACACGCACACGCACACGCACACGCACACGCACACGCACACGCACACGCACACGCACACGCACACGCACAGATATAAGATATTAGTATTTAGATGTAATGATATTTTGAATTGAGAGAAATAAAGATTATTGTTCTAATTTCGGTGTATTAATAGAGTAGTAATGTTATTCCTGTCATGTTTCAATTTGATATAATAAAATTTTTATAAAAATTTTTGTCAAATAATATTATATAACATTGTAAATGTTGTGTAACAAATGTTATACAACAGTATATATCTTCGCACTTATGAAAAGAAAAAATAAGTACCATATATGTAAGCGAGTTTAGTACTTATATCCATCATCAGATAGCACGAAAAACTAGTTATGTTTAGCTTACCTACTCTTACGATTATCATATATTACACGTTTCCTTAAAATATGCAGCTCTCCGAAATGTCTTTTTAAATAGATTCGTAAGCGATGTTTTTTTTTAATCTCGTTTTCTCTATCATATTCATCATGTTAACACTGGATATTCATAACACTACATAATATCGTCAAAGAGATTCATCTCAAACAACAAAAGCATTTCAAATGAATTTCGAACTTTACTTCCACCCGTTGGGTTTTCTGTAAGGGTTGCCGACATTTTGGACCTGATCCGGAATTTCCAGGTACACAGAGTGCATATTCCACCAAAACATTAAGGATTTCCGGAATTTGAAGCAAAATTAACCACCAACTTAATTATTTATTTAGTAATAATCATTCTACCGATGCATGTTTAGGCGGAAACTCTGAGAGATATGATTTAAGAGATCTAATCTATAGATTCTACTGAATATCAACCATAAAAAAAAACATTTTTATCTCACAAACATCCTATATTTAATAATGATAAAATACATTTTCGTTATATGCTTTTCATGTAAGGAAAAAAAACAACATAATTAAATTAACTACCGAAAAATCTTCGATATAGGCCCCAATATCTCCGAAGTTCTACATTATTTTGGCGTAAAATTTATACCAAAATAATTATCAACATCTGCTTAAATTATACTATGATATTTACTTTTTAAATCGTCACTATTATTTTTAATTAATTAAATAAAACTAGCCGTGTAATGGCGGTTGAGAATATCCACTACCCCATATCTTCCCGTGGGTGTTGTAAGAGGCGACAGAGGGAGACAGGCAGGAGATGGGCAGCAGCATCTTCCTGATAACAGCAATGATATAATAAAAAACTGCAGTTGCCAACCCGCTCGCCAAGCGTGGCAACTATGGCAAATATCCCCCCATGAGTAACGACGCAAACAAATGGCCCCCAGTCCCCGGCGGCCCCGCTATTCCTGCATACGGTGGCGACCATGGTAACGGCGGGGCAAGGGGTGCTAAGAATCTCCGGTGGAGGTTCAGTTGCCACCTACGACGACTCGATCTGGCAACATATAACGAACGCACCCTGAGGACTGACGAGAAGATACTGGAGTTGTAAGAAGAGGTAGACAAGTTGCGCTGGCATATTATTGGGCTATCCGTGGCCCGAAGAGAGGGGGAGCACACGGTAATCCTCGAGTCCGGCAACTTTTTCTATCACCGGGAGGGCGACCATCTGGCCCAAGGAGGATAGCAGATCTGATCTATGACTCCGCCACCGATCACGTTTCGAGGGAAGGGATTTGTTGTAGTGAGTGCTTTGCAATACCGACATGTACCTGCCCCACCCCAACACTATCGTTTAAGTGGCGCAGCTCCTCCAGAGTCGCATAAGTTAAAGCAATTGGTGTCTCGACATTCCAATACTCCTCTTTCCCCTACTCCATCTCGGCTACAGTAGGCAGGTGTAAGTTTGATAGGCAGCGGCACAGTCCTATTTCACTTAGCATTAATTAGCTAGGGTCGACGTGACGCACGTCGACCCCAGCATTTAAAACACATTTAGAATTTTGTTATTGACGCAGACGAGTATATACATAACTAAGCAAGTTCTGTTTAGATATATAGATGTGAAAGATGCGACAGAAGTGTGTCATGATCGCGCCATATGGAAGTCCGTATTTTCCGCTTACCCCGCTGTGTGACAGTGAGAGATATTTTTGATGCTAATATTTTGCAAAACTATAATACCTAACTACGTTATTACAACGTGCCAGTAGCTAATTTGCACGGTTGTATATAGGATTATTATATTCATGCTACACACAAAAAAATTATAAGGAGTATTACAAAAAAATTATAAGGAGTATTACAAAAAAACGCGAAATTACAAGGTTTCCTCGTTGAAATTATATGTTTTCCGTTCGTTGCTTGAAATAACAATTAATTGGTAAAAATATTTCGTTTTCTCTACTACAATAAACTGAGAACAAATTTTAGATAACTTAGTTACTTATTTAGTAATAATCATAGTACCGATGCATGTTTAGGCGAAAACTCTGAGAGACATGATTTAAGAGCTCTAATCTATAGATTTTACTGAATATCAACCATTAAAAAAAATTTTTTAACAACATCCTTTAAAACATCCTATACTTTAATCATGATAAAACACATTTTCGTTATATGCTTTTCATGTATGGAAAAAAAAACATAATTAAATTAATTACCGAAAAATCTTCGATACAGGCCCCAATATCTCCGAAGTTCTACATAATTTTGACTTAAAATTTATACCAAAATAATTATCAACATCTGCTTAAACTATACTATGATGAGAGAGATTAAACCACAGCTTCTGAGCGTGTCACGGGCCATCACAACGACTAGACGAGAACCAGTTTGAGAGGTTGAGGAGGTAATATTCATACCTTGATATAATATATATATATATATATATATATATATATATATATATATATATCACAGCAGAAAAAACCATTAAGTGACGAGGCAATTTAAATATAGAAAATTTTGAGAGATCGCGGCAGTAAAAATGGATCAGCGTAATGTTGCTGAAAGATCGAAAGTGTTGATAATTTCTATTATAACCATTGAAAAGCATGTCAAAATTGTTTATTTTATTGGAGTTATATAATCTGTTTATTTATACCCGATAAAACCCGAAAATGTTTTTTGAAAGTATATATTTGATTGTTATACGTATCAAGAAATATTAGATTCATTCATAAAGTAATAAGTTAATCATAATTAATTATATAACAGTTACACATCATCTTTTGTAATGAGTATAATAAATGTGGTTTCAAGTTATAAAGGTAAGTTACTAAGTTTTTTTAAATTAATGGTAAGATTCAGGGTTACATGCGAGCACACAGCTCACCTGACGGTAAATGAATGTTGCTGCCCATAAACATCTACATCTATTCTCGATTAGGAATCAAAATCCAGATGTGTTGTTACCCATGAAGACTAAGATGGAATGCCTCATATCCAGTAAAAAGGGTATCTGATCCTCTTCACTCACCATAATAAACACAGCAGCATTGAGCTGCTATTTTACGCTGGTATTCTGTGAGAGCGTGATCCTCCAACTACCACGTATATGTTATAAGTAAATATGTGGGGTAAACTATGATTCTGGTTCTATTATTTTATTTTGACGTGGAGAGACTGACAATTTTGTTATGAAATACTCGTAGCACAAAATAGTACACGCCTTAAGAATACTTGCATAAAAACGTGTGTGACGAGAACCAGAGAGCCTTTTTATAAGCATCAAAGCATTCCAACTTAGTTCTCTTTTAAGAAATATTTTTGGAGCGTTCTCCATAATATAAGAAAAGAACTTGCTACTTTCTAAAAGGCCAGCAACGACCTACAATTCCCCTGATGTTTCGGTTGATCATGGGACGCGGTGGTCGCTTAGCATCTGAACTGAGGCGTTTGACGTGCTGACGTCATATTTAATCTAAGCTACTTTCAGATTTTAAATATAAATTTTCGGTCCGTTCTACGCAGAACGAGTTAACAGTATTTTTAAGTCTTGCAGTGGTATGATTGGGTTTGGATTTAGTTTTATTGAAGGTAGGATAATCATCTTCCTACTTAAAATTTTGATGTTTTCTAATTTCAAAAGCCTCTCGAAATATACTTGGTATGAATCGGTGTTCTTTCACGAGGATTTATGATTAATCCAAACTGTTGTAATGTTGAGGATGAATCTGAACATCTTCTTAGGCTGCAGTTTTATTCAATATATACTATTTGCGTAAATATTGGAAATAGTTTAATAAACCTAGGGTTCACTTTATATTTCGTCTTAAGCAGTTAAATCTTGAGGATTTGTAGGATAGGAACAAAGTAGTCAGATTTTTCTGACAATTTATTGTAGTCGCCTTTAAAACAAAGTGATTGGTACTCTTGTGACGACAGGTTAATTACCTGAGTTTTTGTAATCGGATATTTTATGTTAGACCCAATTTTCGATATGATTTCAAACAAATTCTTACCGCTTGTCTGAGGTACTTCCTTTATTTCAACATTATTTATTCTTGATCCGCAGAGTTCGACTCCTGCTCTTGTTTTGCTAACCGTGCCTGAATTAGGTTAGCATATTTTTGTACTTTCTCGACCTGTACTAGACGCTGTTCAAAGTCCTAAATTTTGTCATTAAATTCTTTTTAATGACAAAATGAAGATTTAAGATCAGCAAATTTAGATCTCAAGGTAGGTGAAGTCATTAACTTCATCTTTAAGGCATTCTAATGGCGCCAGTTTATCAGAGAGAGCTCTTATCTCCTTAAGTATTAGTGCATCGGATTCAAACTTTGGTGATAAAGGAGGCTGAATAGAGTGAGTTTGCTTACACTTGATACATCGCCAGGTAGATTTTCTATCTCCCAGGTTGCGATAGGCAGCTTTAGTTATTCCAGCACAATGAAAATGTAGCTCTTGATTACACACAATGCAGTGAGGACATTCTGATAACAACTCCCCACATGCACCACAATAATAAATATCCAT